TGAAAACTCCCCAGTCTCGCATTAAGTCTTCACTTTCTCTGAACAGAAAAGAACTCTCGTCAATGGCAGACAAAAATCCCGTCGTGTGGGCTGGTAGAGGTCGTCCCATATTCTGGTGGGGTGAGTTCAAAGAAGAGGGGAAGGAACGAACTCTGTGAACTGGAGAATACTACAAAAACAGCCATCAAAGACTATGGAGGAGGGGTTTCAACTAAGTTTTCCAAGAAGCAGAAAGCAGGAGACTTCTACGATAAACGCAGCGGAAACCATGGGTTCAAAGAAGAGATGAAGTATGAATCCAGCGTCAAAATTGATGACAAGATTGGAGGTACCAGCACTGAGTATCAGACCCAAGTCAAGTTCAAGAAAGTCACTACCTATGCCAGCAAAGGGGCTCCAAAACCAAGCTATAAGCGTATTAAGTATAACAAGTATTAGAACAATGTTTTTAAATAAAATGTTGACTTCTCGTATTCTAACCTAAATGAAAACTCATTGCTATCGGAGTTTTCCGTAAGTTCTTTTTCCTTTTTGCAAGTTCTAATCCAGATGAAAGCTCATTAACGTTTTTGAGCTTTTATATGTCGATATATGTTGGTTTGAACTCATGTTTATGAATATTTTCTTAGTTAATGAATTTGTTCACGTCTTACAAATTAAAATCGATGGAAAAGCAACCTCTGTTAATGCAGTGTGGTTGAATACTTGAAATATTGGTTTTTTTTTGGTTGAGCAAAAAAGATTGGAATATGTGAAGGCGATGAGAAGAACAGTGGGCGAAAGTGGTGGTTCTGGTTTAAAACTTCCGTACTTGCGTGTTTGGCTATCTTGTTACGGCAACTGACTTGATGGGTGCAGCGTATCGTCGGATGTTACGCTTTTAAATGCTATCTACAGGAAACTGACGCAAATATAACACTTTAAAGAAAACAATAGTGAATCCAAGCGATTTTGTGCGGGTCAGTGTAGGGCCACTTAGGGGGTCAACCCAAGTTACCCGACCCAATAAATTTTCAGATTTTCTCAAAAAACAAATATTTTTTTTAAATAAAAAAAAGTTGGGAGGACTAGACATGGTCACATGGACAATAAATCAAATTACGATCAAACACTTCTTTGATTCCAATTATCTCAAAAACACTCTTCTTTCTCTTCTTTTGAGTTAAACGTTTTTCTAACATTTGGGTGGCAAAATTTTGTCCATCAAACACCTTGTTTTGTGGAAAATGGAATTTGCCAAGGAATTCAAGGCCAATCAAACACTAGCTAAGTGATATTGTTAAAATAAGAATCCATTTTAGGATATATATAAATATCTAATGATATACATTAAATAATATGCTTTCTTAATCATATCCACTACCATAGAATCTGTAAGTACAAAGTTTCCTTAGTATTGCAAGTATATTCACCAAAAAAAAACTCAATAGAATGGAAACAAATTAAGAATTGAGAGTCTTTACTTTGACTTGCAAAAGTTAAGAGTACAATAGATTCCATATATGTAATTACTTTATATATACATTAACATAATACATTGTACATGTTCAACATATAAACGTAATTTCCAAAAATTAAAATAAAGCTCATGTCATGCATAAGTTGTAATATGGTCTTATACAAAATAGCCATTTAGTTAAAAGGAGTTCAAAAAACAACTCTTTTGTTGTTGCTGATTTGCCCATGTTGTTGCCAAAGTTTTTGCAAAATGATTCGCAGCATTTGCATTTAGCAAAATAACAAAATCATCTCAGTTTCTACTTGAACTGTTGAAGGCATGGGATAGTTACTTTGTTGTAGTAATGATGTTGTCATGTTCATGAATTGCAGTCCTCTCATTTTTAGGAAGGTCGGATGATATTATCTTCTGTTTTTTTGGTTGCTCTACAATTTCTGTTTCAAAGACCAGATTTCTTCGTGCAGCAGGTGGGAATTGTTGACTGGTTTTAGAGGAGTTTGTGCAATTGAATGAAACTTTATTCTTGGCATCATATGGAGACACTATGGAGATGTTTCTTCAAGTTCACGGTTGTCATCAAGAATATATGTCACATCAAACATTGGTTGGTTAGTTTTTGGATCGAGGTTTTCTACTTTCATGTAAATGAAGTGGTCTTCATGTATGTAGTTTGACTTATGACCACCAATCACATGATGTGGTTGCATATAAAAGATTAAACAATATACTATCAAGTTATGCAGTCGGGGAAACTTGTTGAATGTAATAAATAATACATAGAAACTTTACCATTAGATTATCTTTCATTACCTTGCATCCTGGTTTTCTCATTTTTCATCATTATAATTTTAAAAACAAGACGTTAATAAATCATAAACTAACAAAAATAAATAAATAAATAACAAAGCGCATAAAATATTTTAAAATACAAAACCGAGAGTTAAATTATTGGATATCATCAACTAACCTAATGTTTCTTTCTCAACTAGCTCATCAGGAGACGAAAAGTTTGCTGCACCAACAATGTCATCATTTATGCAAATGTGTGATTTTTTTTGTCTGTATTAATTTACTGATTACCTTGGTGCCAACCTGTTTCACCATAAAGAAATTGAAGTGGGTCATAACATCCATAGTAATATTGTATTCTATTGTGATTTTCATTTTTACAGTAAACTACAATATCACTCATATGAATATCACCACAGTCATCATGATCAACCCAACTAACAACAACTTGTGAAACATTAGGTGTATTAAATGTTCTCTGATCAGTATGCGGATTACATTGCAATCGAATAGAATGATTTTCTAAACAAGGAATAGTTCCCAAATTTCGAAAAAATGCCGTGGAAGAATTATTCTCTAAAATCTTCATCAATTTAACAATAACATATTCAACTAACCATTCACTCAAATTTAATCTATTTTGCATTTCATTATCGGTATCAAAAAAGTAAAGTTACAATTTAGTAGGACAATTGTCTCTTGGAATAATTTCATTTATAAAATGGTATATCTGACCCTGAACTCTAAATGTATAAATATCGTTATAATTTGTGCATAATGTTTTATCATAATTCACATCAAATAATGTTACAGAGAAATTACAATTATAATTTCGCACCATTTTTCGAAAGTTTAAAGATTCTTCATAATTTGAAGTAAACAACATATATAATTCTAGAGGTGCGACGTTTGTTTTCAAAAGAATTTGTCCATTTGAACAACAAAATCCATTTGTTTCTCTAAAAAAATTAATGCCACAATACTCACAAATAGTAGTTTCAGGTAGCACATAAGGTTCTGAGAAAAGATTATCATCATAATGTTTTGTGCAATTGAATGAAACTTTATTCTTCGCATCATATGGAGACACTATGGAGATGTTTCTTCAAGTTCACGGTTGTCATCAAGAATATATGTCACATCAAACATTGGTTGGTTAGTTTTTGGATCGAGGTCTCCTACTTTCATGTAAATGAAGTGGTCTTCATCCATGTAGTTTGACTTATGACCACCAATCACATGATGTGGCTGCATATAAAAGATTAAACAATATACTATCAAGTTATGCAGTCGGGGAAACTTGTTGAATGTAATAAATAATACATAGAAACTTTACCATTAGATTATCTTTCATTATCTTGCATCCTGGTTTTCTTATTTTCCATCATTATAATTTTAAAAACAAGACGTTAATAAATCATAAAATAACAATAAATAAATAAATAAATAACAAAGCGCATAAAATATTTTAAAATACAAAACCGAGAGTTAAATTGTTGGATATCATCAACTAACCTAATGTTTCTTTCTCAACTAGCTCATCAGGAGACGAAAAGTTTACTGCACCAACAATGTCATCATTTATGCAAATGTGTGATTTTTTTTGTCTGTATTAATTTACTGATTACCTTGGTGCCAACCTGTTTCACCATGAAGAAATTTAAGTGGGTCATAACATCCATAGTAATATTGTATTCTATTGTGATTTTCATTTTTACAGTAAACTACAATATCACTCATATGAATATCACCACAGTCATCATGATCAACCCAACTAACAACAACTTGTGAAACATTAGGTGTATTAAATGTTCTCTGATCAGTATGCAGATTACATCGCAATCGAATAGAATGATTTTCTAAACAAGGAATAGTTCCCAAATTTCGGAAAAATGCCGTGGAAGATTTATTCTCTAAAATCTTCATCAATTTAACAATAACATATTCAACTAACAATTCACTCAAATTTAATCTATTTTGCATTTCATTATCGGTATCAAAAAAGTAAAGTTGCAATTTAGTAGGACAATTGTCTCTTGGAATTCATTTATAAAATGGTATATCTGACCCTGAACTCTAAATGTATAAATACCGTTATAATTTGTGCATAATGTTTTATCATAATTTACATCAAATAATGTTACAGAGAAATTACAATTATAATTTCGCACCATTTTTCGAAAGTTTAAAGATTCTTCATAATTTTAAGTAAACAACATATATAATTCTAGAGGCGCGACGTTTGTTTTCAAAAGAATTTGTCCATTTGAACAACAAAATCCCTTTGTTTCTCTAAAAAATTAATGCCACAATACTCACAAATAGTAGTTTCAAGTAGCACATAAGGTTATGAGAAAAGATTATCATCATAATGTTAATTAATGCCACAATACTCACAAATAGTAGTTTCAGGTAGCACATAAGGGTCTGAGAAAAGATTATCATCATAATGTCGCTCATTTGAACACCCTAATAAGGGAAAAAAAACAAATTAAAGTATTTAACAGTCAAATATATACATGAATATTATATTTTGTTCAACCAATTTTACCATGACAAATTAAAAGAACAAAGAGACTTCGCCTTGATGATCGAACATATTGCCCACATTTATGCGAATGATTTTTTTCTTCAATAGACACGCTGCAACTATTCTATGCAATTAACATTCTAAGTTCCTTTAAAAAATGTACTTAAAATAATGCGTCAGGAAAAAAAAATCACATATGCTCAGATTATGTGTTATTCACACTCAATCTAGCTCCCACTGACTTTCTTCTTGCTGTTGCTAAAATAGACACAAGAGTATCCACCCAACAACAGTCTTGTTCTATTTCGTGCACACTGAATCCATTGGATTGCAAATTCAGAACGAACAATAAATTTAAGATCAAACCGGGAAAAAAAGAATGACGAGAATAATGACAGTTGACAAGAAAACTAAGGTATATAATCATAATTTCACATCCAAAGTTGCATCCCATTGGCATTTCATTTATTTGTTAGTGTCATGGGCACATTGCATAATGCAGCATTCAAAATTTAGCAAAATCGGCTCACGAGGAAGAAAATAATTAATACTCCCTACTCATCATTTGTAAGCACTTTATAGTTTGAAAAATAAATAATTAAAGGTTGACAGCAGAAAGAACTATATAGAAAGCACTTAACATCAACTGATTAACTGATGGCCAATTGAAAGAGAGTTCATTCACCAAGCAATTGCAAAGTCAATGAGGCTTTGCAGACTTCATATGTTACTATCTAGTCTAGACTTAAATTTCTGTACAATTAGAAAAAAATGGAATTACATTAAAGTCAGTGCACGTGAAATCGAGAAGAGAAAAAAACCTATTAACACAGCAGTGTCGAATTTCAATTTTTTATCGGGCAAAATATTGTAAATCAAATTGAATTCAATCTACCCAGTCAAATTCAGCTGTAAAAATCCTCCAATTCCTACTCGGGAAAATTAAATTTAATAATTCAAATAAGATTTTCCACCAATAATAATCGACCTTGCAGCGATGCTCAATAAATAGAAAATTCAACAGTTCCCTCTCTCGAGTTGATCTTTTTTTCCAGGGGAAAAATACAAGAAACACGCAAATTTGAAATCTTCGAGAAACACCCAACAAATTACAAGTCCAAAAGAAATTAAGAATTCAATCCAAATAAATACTCGCAAATAAAAACACATCATACCTAAATTAATTAACAAAAAGTACTTGTGTATATATTGACGAAATCAAAAGAGAGTAAAACACAAGATTTGTGTGGATAAATAGAAGGGAATTTGGACACTAACAAGTGGCGGTGAGTAAACAACTTTTCATTCAGAAGAATTTTTGTACAGCGATGCGATGCCGAGCGAAATCGAAAAGGGGAAAAATAATACACGATGAAATACAGCAAATCAACCGTAGAGAAGAAAAATCGAGTGAAATTCTGCGATATTTTGTTGATTTTACAAGATCACACTTAAAAGTGGAGGAAATTTGTGGAATTCTTCAAAATGTAAAAAAAATATCTCCTCATTTCCGCCTCGGCTTAGGTGGCTCGGCTAACCGACTGGCTAAAAAATTGGCCATTTGGCTTAGGAACGATAACTTCAACATTCCTCTTTTATATATTGTAAATGATATTGGGGCTAGACAAGTACTAAAACTTTCTATTCAAGGGATGATATTCAATTGAGATTTTTGTAGATTTGGATGGACTTTTTTTTAAGTGACGATTTCTGTGGATTTCGTTGATTTTTTTATAGATTTTTATGGAATTATCGGAAATCTTTTGTAGAATTTTACAGATTTTCATTTTAAAACTTTTATAGACTTTCATATTTAAAAAACTTTTGAATACTTTCATTTGAAATATATTTATGTAGATTTAGTGTAATAATGTGAAATTATCACATATAAGGTGGTGGTTCCCACGATTCCCCTTCCCTCGCTCATATAATAAAAAAATATTTTCAAAGGAATAAAAATTTAAGACAACCTTAATTAAATAAATAAAAACAATAATTATACATATAAAAAATATTTTTAATATTTAGTATTATTAACATATTATATCTTTAAAGAATAAATAAAAATGTATATTTAAATTTAATTATAAATTAGTCTATATAAATTTTATATAATTGAAAATAGATATTTTTGACTAAAAATAAATGGAAAAAGAAAAAAAAAGTTATAAGAATATAATTTAATTTTGCCCATAGAAAATAGGAATAAATAATAATAGAGAAAAAAAAAATAGAAACTAATATAATCAATAGAAAAAATTAAATTTTAATCATAACTCTAATATTCGTAAAAAGAAAAAGGAAATAGAAATATTGTAAAAAATGCATATTAATTTCTTTTTTCGTTTTGTGAAAATATCCCAAAATCTTGTGATTAATCAGAGATAAAATTTGAAATTTTGTTTTTGTGCTTTTTGCTTGAAAGTTAATACTATGGAGACTTTTTATCTTTAAAAGTCATTGAAATTTGAATATTTTAACACTTATAGAAATTTTTAAAAAATTTTAATTGAATATACCTAACTTTTTTGAGATTTTTTAAAAATTTATAACAGTCTCAATTGAATACATCGATACTTTTAAAGAACTTTTCAAAAGTTTACATTGGATACCCTTGATATTTTTAAATCTCAAAAAATCATTAAAAGTTTTAATGTAAAAAATACGCCCGCAAGAAATAGCCAAAAATAATAACTTATAGCCGCCGGTAAAGTCTAAAGACAAAATACTTAAGCCAAAAATTATCAGATTAGATAGATCGTTCACCATGCTACTTAACCTTAAATAGAAATGGAGAGATGAAAAAGGAATGGGAGAAAAAAAATTAAAATCGAAAAAAAGGCCAAAAATAATTAAAAAATGTCTGGTTCACAGTTTAGAAGAGCATGGTCTGACCAAACTCCAGTTCTTGAACCCCTTCAACGCCGGTATAACCAATACAATAGCCGCTTATCCTCCGCCGTCGAAATGAGCACCCCGCCGCCGCCTCCTCCTCCTCGCCGCTCGGTCTTCCTCGGTGTTGATGTTGGAACCGGCAGCGCCCGTGCAGGTTTCTTCTATTATCTTCTCCTCTATGAACACATTGATTTTGCAAATATGATGCAGTATTGCGGTGCGGTGGTGGTTTGTATTTGGTCATTTCTGTGTGTTCTATGCGCATCACTGGTTTGTAATTTTTATTGGGATTGGTTACGGAGAGATGGATAAACGGGTTTTACTATGTTGCATTGCTGTAGCTTTGTTACACTCTTATTATTAGTTTATGACAATTCCGCTCTATATTGTTGTTTAGGTCGAATTTTTTTTGTGCTTTTCATGGTTATGTGCAGTTTATCTGTAAATTCTATTCGCGGTAAACTTTACATTTTGATTTGATTTCAATAGCATAACTATAGATTAATTTAATTTCAATTAAAGTAACTTCGTTCAACCACACTGAAAGATATCGATAATATGTCAAGTCAATAAATGATGCGAATTTTTGAATAAGTATAACTTTTTATAAATAAATGGATTGAGATAAAATTGAAGTACAATTATTGATTGATACCACAGGAAAGTATACTTACCGTAAATGGAATTTATGCGTAGTTTATCAAATAAATGAATTTATGGAAGGAACATTGTAAAGGTTAAATAAACGTGTTTACAATTTTGTGATTGGTTATGGAGGGAAAAATTTCTAGTACTCCCAGAGTATGGATTACTCACTGTCACTATTTCATTGACACTTGTATAGAATAATTTTTAGTACTAATACTCACTATTACTATTTAATTGACATGTGTATCGAATAATTGGATCCGAATATGGATAAATAATAGACATGTTAATTAAATAGTGGTAGGAGTACTTAGTTTTCATACTCCGTGAGTACTAGAAATTTTCTCGGTATGGAAGGGGTTTTATTTTATTTTTTCCTTTTTAGTGTTTAATGTTGCATTGTTGGTGCTTTTCTAATGTCTTATTAGTAATTTATATCAATACCTCTATGAAGTAGTTTAGGTTGAAATTTCAGTTTGCTCTTTCCATTCATTCCTTTTATCTGTTTGAAATTAAGGATCATCAGGTACATGTATATTTGTTGATATCTGAGATCTTTGATATGTTAATGATGAATTTGTCTGTGTGAAATAACCAAGTTCTTATTGGCTTAAACTGTAAGAACGCACACTTCAATTGAATTCGTTTGAATATGTTAAACAATCATATTTTAAATACTGACGTTTCACATTTGTTCCTTTTAGCCCTTGGATTCAGTGGTACGGTAGTAGAATTAAAATATTTGAAAACAAGAAGAAAATTTGAAAACTCGAAAGTTTGTGAGAAAATTTGTAATAAATTGATGAATGAAAAAGTGTACAAAACTTTGCTTAAATGGACAAGTTAATTCCCTAATCCCAATGACTAAAGTAATTAAAATCCTAAATGTAGTAAAAGAAAAAAAAATCATATTCTAAACAAGAAGGAAGAAAAAGAGATAAATCCCTTTATCAATAAATCCTATTTACAATAGAATTGTCCTATCTCATTCAGTATGTTCACACATGCAATGTTTTTTCTTGCTAATGATGAGCCTTGGTTATTTACTAGCTATATTTTTAAAAGGTGCTTCTTGTTTATTCTCTCCCTTTGCTGTTTGATGCAGGTCTCTTTGATGATGGTGGAAGACTTTTAGGTTCTGCTAGTAGCCCGATACAAATATGGAAAGATCGTGACTGTGTTGAGGTGATAAATGATTAATCAGTGCGCGTTTCGATGAATTACTTTATGTATACCATGCCTTGCTCATATTAATTGAAGGCTTGCCCTAGCCTGCAATTTTATAAGAAGTAGAGGTTAAGGAATTAAATGCATTTTTCTTAATATTTATCCAGGAGGAGCATTAAAGTACATTTGGTTTTGTTGACTCTTGTAGCAATGTTCAACTGATGTTTTGTTGACTCTTGTAGCAATCTTCAACTGATATTTGGCTTGCAATTTGCACGGCAGTCAAAGCAGCATGCGCTCTTGCAAATATTTCAGGGGAAGAAGTAACTAGTTTGGGATTTGCTGCTACTTGTTCTCTTGGTTTGTGTACTTGGATAAATCACCTTTGCTTAAACTATGCACTCTGGAACGTGCAGCTTGTCCCCTAACAATTATTAGGGAAAACTGGTCTTGTATGCAGTTGCTGTTGATTCTGACGGACAACCTGTAACAGTTTCTTGGAGTGGTGATACAAGGAGAAATATCATAGTGTGGATGGACCACAGAGCTGTGCAACAAGCTGAGAGGATAAATTCCTCTAACTCACCTGTATTGCAATACTGTGGCGGGGCTGTATCCCCAGAGATGCAGCCACCCAAGGTATTTATGCAAAGAATAAGAGTGTCAGTATTTTCTTTTCCTCCCTTTAGAAAATATTTTCTTTGCTGTTGTTAAAAGCTTTGTGAAACAGAGAGATTGCTTATCTTCTGTTTGTATTATGGACTGAACTTTGTTGTGAAACTGTAATTGCAGCTTTTATGGGTCAAAGAAAATTTGCAAGAGTCTTGGTCAATGGCATTCAGGTGGATGGATCTGAGCGATTGGTTATCATATAGGTAGGCCATTAAGTTGTCGTCCATGATTATGTCAATTAATATGTTTTTGTGCAGTTGCAATATTCATATTAATTTTCCAGAGCAACAGGAGATGATACTCGGAGTCTGTGCACAACAGTCTGCAAATGGACATATTTAGGTCACGCACACATGCAAAAGATAAATGAAAAAGATTCCCGTGATATGGAAGCTTGTGGATGGGATGATGACTTTTGGGAAGAGATTGGTTTAGCTGATCTTGTTGATGGCCATCATTCGAAGATTGGTATGCTGTATGCCTCTAAATGATAGTCCCACGTGTCTCTGATTCACTATCATTCTTATTAGTTTTCCTATTCTTATGAAGCTTAACCAATGTAGTCTTTTGACAAACTATATCATTTACTGAGATGCTTTGAACATGTTGTACAATTTATGAAAATATTTTGAAATTATGGTTTAACTGAGTCAAAAAAGACAACAGGCGTTGAATAAGCTGAAGAATAAGAAGAAGATGCAAATACCCAATTAACTTTTCTTTCGCATTCATGGGGGAAGTTTTCAAGTACTTCAAATTGTCTGTCTTTTCTGAAACTTTGCATATAACTGTTCACAACAATTTCTTTGGCATCAGTATCTATCTGATTTTCAATAATCCGTTTGTGCTTTTTACTTGATAATAATCACGTACAGGACGAAGTGTAGCTTTTCCTGGCCATGCTTTGGGCTCTGGTCTAACACCTGATGCTGCAAAGGCAAGTGACATATAGTAAATTTTCTCTTTGATTTCAAGTGATGCTTGTTTGAGTCTACAAATGATGCTAAACTTTATTAGAGTAAAAGGAAGGATGATTAGCTCTCTGCATGGATAGTTCATTCTTTCCCTAAGAATCTCTTTATTTTCAGGAATTGGGCCTGGTGGCAGGGATACCAGTTGGAACATCATTAATTGATGCTCATGCTGGTGGTGTGGGAGTAATGGAAAGTATGCCGGCGTCAGATTCTGAAGCTAAAGGTTCTGTTTGCATAGTCTTTTAACTTCTTGGTTTTTGGTTGTATGAATCTGTATTTTTTGTATATGTGTTACAACCGAGAATGCTGCAAGTGTAGACATTGACGAGGAAGCAATATGTCATCGAATGGTATTAGTTTGTGGAACTTCCACTTGCCATATGGCTGTTTCACAGAACAAGTTGTTTATTCCTGGGATCTGGGGACCATTCTGGTCAGGTATATTCGTTTCCATAAAATAATGTTTGCTTTAATATCATTTTTCTTGAGATGTACTGCTATGGGGATGACTTTCTTAAATACACGATATTGCCTGAAATAAAAAGAAATGTCTATTTATCACCCCTCCTTACACTTACCTTATTTGAGGGATTGGAATCCCACGTCCATGTCATACAAAGAGAAAATAGAGAGCAAGAGCTAGACTATCTACTGAAGCAACCACTCGATCCTACTGGCATTTAGAGTCTTCTTCATCTATCAGCTATACACCCTCCTTGCATTTATGCTGGGAGACATTGCCAGTGCTATGGGCTTTGACTGAAATGTCCAAGAAACTAAACTACCTTATCTGATTATAGATACAACTCAAATCTGTCAAGGTTACTAAACCTTTTCTTTCTCCGTCTATTATGTATGAAGAAACTCAAGTCGCAGGAATCCATAGATTTTCTGTGCTCAACAGTTGATAAATAGAAACTTGCTTGAAGGCCTTTATTCTTAATGAGTTTTACTCAACTAGATAATTAAGCTGGGGGTCTTGTGTTCCAAATTTGCTTTAAGTTGTATTGTTATTTGGAACAAACTTTTAGACGGCTTTCCACTGGTTTATTGGTATTTCATACCTTTCTTTAGTTACAACGGGGGACTAAAAGTTATTCTCATTTACTTTCACAAATATTTTTAGCCATGGTGCCTCAGTACTGGCTCACGGAAGGAGGTCAGAGTGCCACTGGTGCATTACTAGATTATATTATTGAGAACCATGTTGCTTCTCCACACCTGGCAAATCGAGCTGCTTCTCGATGTGAGATTCCCTCAACTTCAAAAATGTTACTTTCAGCAATGTTGTATTGCTACCCGTGTTATACTTTTGACTGGCATAACCACTCATCATTTTGATTTAACAGGCATTTCAATCTTCGAACTTTTGAATGAGATACTGAAATCAATGAAACAAGAATTAGGTTCTCCTTTTATTGCTGCATTGACTGATGACATACATGTCTTCCCTGACTTCCATGGGAACAGGTAAAAAATCTGATTTTCAGTATCAATTGCGTACTTATGTAGCTACAAAGGAATAGTTAATACTGAACCTTTTGTGCAGATCTCCCATTGCAGACCCAAAATCGAAAGGCATGATATGTGGCTTAACTCTTGACACAAGTGAAAAACAGCTGGCTCTTCTATACCTTGCCACAGTACAGGGTATTGCATATGGGACACGCCATATTGTAGAGCACTGCAATGCCCATGGGCACAAAGTAAGGACATTTTTCACCTCGTGTTTCAAAACATTGTTGACCACGTATCAGTTTTGCCAATACAGATAACTCTAGTATAATTAGTTTATTACTTTTTCATGTAGAATACAACAAATCACATGATAAGATGAATCATAATATTATCATGGTGACATCAACTCACAATCATTTTATAAAGGCTCTTCAATAAAGACCTCTTTCTTTTCTTTCTCCCCCATTAAAAAGGACGTTATAAATATTCTGAAATAAGCTATGCTTTACTGAAAAATTGCATCTTTTCAAAAATTCATGCTAATCAATCAAATCATTCAACTTTTGAAGTTAGAGAAGCGCCAAATCCTTGTACCTCAAAGTTTTCCTTTTTTTATTTTTGAAATCTCCAAGTTTTTTCTTTAAAATTTGTTGCAGTGTATAAACTGAATCCAAAAGGGAAAAAAGTGAAAATAAAAAGGAAAATGTTTGTAGGTTTGTTTGTAGACATTGTCAGCTTTTAAGCTAGCTAGTTCATGGTAAAATAAAAATGTATATAGAATGTTTATAGGTAAACTAAAGATGCATGTAACAAGTGGTGGGTTAGGATATTGATCTAATACACAAAGGGTTTGATAATAAGCTTTGGAAATAGAAGCTAATACAAGAATTACTGGCAAAATCAAGTACATTAGACAGTGTATTATGATACACTGAAACTACATCTCCTGTTAAAACCAGGGAGATTCTTGCAATTTATTTTTAATATTATTCTATATGCCCTGGCCCTCCAAATAAAAGTCTAACTACATGACCTGATCTGAAAATCATGAAGCATGAATACTGCACTGTCTTTTATTATTACTGAAGTTTGTAATACCAGTTTAGGGTTTTTGTTATTATCATTTGAGGTGGGTGTATTAACTAACTGTAATAGCACATGCTTCCTACTAGCGCCTACGTCCCCAGTTAATGGGAATTTTTTTTTTAAGTTGCATGAAAATTCCAGGTTCCAGATAATGTTTTTTAGAAGTCAATGTACACCCCATTGTTTATGACACCTAAATCCATTATACGTGCAAGGCTTTCTTATTGATTTCTGAGTAAATGTTCTTTCACTACCTTTTGATTTCCAGATCAACACATTGCTGGCATGTGGTGGACTAGCAAAGAATTCCCTGTTCATACAAGAGCATGCGGATATTATAGGTTCTCGTCTCTCTCTCTGTCTGTGTGCGTGTGTTCCCTATTGCTATACCAATCTGATAGATATATATCACATGTCCGCCCACTCTACGCATTTATAGTGACTACTTGAAGCTTGCATATAGTTGTTGTATAGCACCACGTCAAGCCGTAAACCTTTTTCTCCAAGAGCATGATTCTAGATCCCTCCAGGGTTTGTAATTCCAGGTCATATGCAGATAAAACTTAGATGGTATTACATAGATGCAAATAGTTGGGACACTTCACCTCTCACGTTGCATTTGTAATTTTGAGAGAGAGAGAGAGAGAGGATAAATGCAATTAAGTTTCTTAGACACAATATAGACACATGACGGATTGTGGGAAAGCATTTTATAATTTGTAACTGATTTCTCTTTTTTGTTTGTGTCGTTCAACTGGTTTTGCACCACATTTCTCTCTCCATATATTCAACTTTATCTTTTGTGGATTACTCTTTTGTTGCACCATATTCCGGGGAGCTCTCATGCTGTCCGTTTTAGACTTCACCTCTCCATTAAAATTGTTGGCTTTTAAAGGTGGAATGAATAGAAAATGTCATTCTAAGACAAATTTTGAAATAGTGTGGCTTATAAAATATTATCTAAAGAAAGTTAAATACGGAAGCGCCGATATTCAGAGTTTACATATGAGATTGACACTTTTTGACATCTGCGCAGTAGTTTTGGGGTGTAAATTTTGGGCCCCACTAGTTCCAAACCAAAATTATGTGTTTCACTCATCAATGATATCTACAGGGCTGTTTTGGGGTATAAATTTCGGCTACCACTAGCTCTTTACCTCAATTATGTGCAGTGTATTTTGCTTATCAGTTGCATTGGTATAAAAAATTTGATGAATTCTGGCCTGTAATCGAATTTGGACAGGTTACCCTATTATTCTTCCACGAGAAAATGAATCAGTGCTCTTGGGTGCTGCTATTCTTGGTGCCGTTGCTTCAAAGAAATATTCCACCATGCGAGAGGCCATGAAAGCGTTAAACTCAGCTGGTCAGGTAGGCAAATTTTTTGCTAATTGCATAATTAGGATTTACTCTGAAAAGCGAAGTTAGATTAATTATGTAGCATATTCTTCCATGGAACTTGTCGAATCAAACGTGGTATACACACTTAGCTTATTCGTTGTCTTATTTTCGTCTGCTGCTTGTTGAAAAAGATTAGAAGCTTAGAAGTTAAATACTGAAGCTATAAGCTTTCTTCGTCTTAAGATTAACTTTTCTCGCTGTTCTCTTCTTGCTGTTTCGTAAGGTTTTTGCTTATAACTTTGCAGGTCGTCTATCCATCCAACGATCCAAAAGTAAAAAAGTACCACAATGCTAAATATCGTATCTTCCGTGAACTTTATGAGCAGCAGTTGTCCCACCGTTCAATAATGGTCGAAGCTCTGGCATGAGTTTCGGTTTCGATTTTAGTCTGCTATATTGGGCGGTATGCTCTGGTAGTTGGAAGAAGGATATTGTACAACTTGCTTATGGATGCAATGTCGATCTCGTGTACAGTTATATCATCCATGCAATTTGTATACATTGCCCACCATTACCTTGTTTCTATGTTAATCTTCTGTTGACTTTTTTTAAACCACAGAAACGATGGAAAATTTAAACACCTTTATATAAAGTATTTTTATTCTTTTCGAAACATTAGCACTACAAAACTAAGCTCATGTTTGCTCTTCATTTTCCAAAATTCATTTTATTCTAAAACTCAGTTTTCAATCACATATTTCTCCAATAAACTTGAAATATTTTTGTATTTTTTAATCATACATTTTTTAAAAAATAACTATTACAAAACATATTTTCCCCAAAAAGTGGGGTTCACACACATCTTAAATCAGTAAAGTTATTTGTACAAAGTTGAGTTACAAAAGTTTCGTTACAGAGTGTGTTGGTAAAATTCAGATAGTTGATTTCAAATGATTTAAAAATCTGTTTTTAAAATGATTGATGTAGACGTTATTTTGTCAATCAATCTTGTAATCCAACTTTGTACATGTTACATAACTCTAAAATCCTTTTTACTATAAGCAAATAAAACAGTAGGAGCCCAAGAATCTGAGTGTAGGCTCTGAAGTCGGCCAAGTTGGAATGGGCTCCTATTCTCAGAAGTTGGCCGACACGATCCCCTTTCTAAGATTGAAAACTTGGCCATAAGAGGGCTCCAACCTGTGATGACAACTCCGCCAATAAATGATTTCCTCACAAAATATCCACATTGTCGGAGATCAGAAGTGACGACATACATTGATTACTTGGCCAATCAATATCTAGAACGTTATTGCCTATGGTCGAATACTAGGTTGCGGGTAATGATTATTCAGCCACATTGCACAAACGAACCAATGAGCCGCCAAGAAAAATATTTGAATACACCAAATCTCCATACAAGCCCTCCTTAAAATGATTGGAACGGTGTCAATCATCTCGCTTTATATAAGGAGTGCATAGCCTTTAAAAAGGTACACGTACTCTACGTGTAATATAAGTTTGGACTAGACATTTAAGAGTATGTAGCCATTGTGCTCCATTCGTGCCGACACTCAATTAGATTTATCGTTATTTTATTTAAAAATTTAAAAAAATTCACTTTTTTGTCATCAACAACTTAAGTCACTATCAAGAGAGAATTTCAATTAATGCTTTCTCCGCAAATTTACTTTTCCTAGTTAAATTACTGTGTCCTTGTTTGGTAGAGATTAAAATTAAATTTTTAGTAGATTTTGATAAAAATTAATGGAATGTGTACTTGAAAAATTGTAGGATCAATGAAATGTGTGGTTAATATTGATTGTTTGACTTTGACTCAAATTAAAATTTAATTTTAATCGATACCAAACATGACTATATATATATATATATATTTATTTATTTTGGGGGAAAGGAGAGGAACGAAATTAGTATGTAGAGAATATGCTCACGCACTGATAAAATTGATTCTCCGATTCGAATAACTCAAAACTTGCCACGTGTACCCCCACCTGGCAACTTGAGCATCCCACTCAAAACATCCCATCATACCCATACCTCGTATGCATCTCGCCTCCATAGCTCGGAAACAAAATAAGGAAACTTTCTCTCTATATAATCATATGATGTACATACAAAAGTACAGATATATAATATATAATTCCTGTTTGCCACTCTATGTATGTTTCGTAAGTAAATAAAATATGGTCATTTAATTGAAGTATTTGCTTGTTTGTCATATAAAAAGTATAATATAATTGAGATTCAAGAGTTTTTTTGGCGGAAGATTTTCTTTCGAGGGTTTCTTGAGTTTAAGGAAAGATTTAGGGCTCTGGTGTTATCAGAATAATCTCCAATTCCAGGTACTCTGATTTGAATTTTGTTTTTTAGCCGGATTTAATCAGTACCAAGTTTGGGATCTGTGTTGTGTCTTGGGAAATTTGAGGGTTTTCTGTAATGGCTAATGAGGATGTGTGTTTAAATACCCGTGAGAACGACTGATGTGTTGTAATAAGGGGGTTGAAAATTTGATTGAATCGTTGGAACTTGAGAATCCAATTATTGATCAGCAACACCAAATTGTGGACTTGATGGATAGCCCTACAGGGACCCCAGGCTCCAATCAGAGCTCTAATGATGAAAACCCGCGCGTCAAATTCTTATGTAGCTTTTCAGGTAGTATAATGCCGCGGCCCCAAGATGGGAAACTTAGGTATGTAGGTGGCGAGACACGTATATTGAGTGTCCCACGTGATATTAGCTACGAGGAGCTCATGGGGAAGATGAGGGAGCTTTTTGAAGGGGCGACCTTGCTAAAATACCAGCAGCCTGATGAGGATCTTGATGCTCTAGTATCGGTTGTGAATGACGATGATGTCGCCAATATGTTGGAGGAGTATGACAAGTTAGGCTCTGGAGATGGGTTTACTAGATTGAGGATTTTTCTGTTTTCAAATCCTGATCAAGATGGGTCAGTGCACTTTGGCGATGGAGATGAAAGGGAAAATGAAAGGAGGTATGTTGATGCTTTGAACAACCTTAACGAGTCTCCTGAATTCGGGAATCAGCTAGGTGTGTCTCAGGTAATGGGGTCCTTAGATGATGTCCATGTTGCTGAGCAGTACTTTAATCAGATGAGTCTAGGGGGTAGCATCCATGGTCAGAGGAATGCAGAGTTGCCTATGGCGTATGTTAATTTGCATCAGCTTGCAATTCCTCATTTGGGTTCTGGGCAACCCCAACAACCAGTTTCTCAGAGGTACTCTGACAATGAGGCTCCATGGAGTCCTGCTTGCTATTCTCCTCGGCAACCTGGAATCCTGGACCAAAAGCCTGTGGCTGAGTTTCCAACTTCGCCTTCATCTTCCCGTTATCGAGCACCATATGGGGAGTTTTCAGACAGAAACTTTGATAGAATGCATGAGGAATACAATCGGCCTCCAATTAATCATCATAACATGTATGAGCAGCCGCTGCAGTATACCGAGAATATGGTCTTGATTCCAACAGGACCTGTAGGCAGTGAAAATGTTGGGTTTCCAGGTAATATACTTCATGGCACTGGTTGTGAGCAATGCCGGATAACATTTCCAAGAAATCAACTTTATCCAGATACCCCTCGGAAGCCGGGAGAACAGCCACGTCTAGAGCCAACTAACATGGGGAATGGATATCATCCAGTCACTAATTCTTGTGTTGAGTGCCCCCCAAATAGGGAAATGTACACGTTGAATCCAGATGCAAACGTGCACCATCCATACTTCTATAACGAGAGTCGTAGTCATGAAAGAAGATGGATTTTACAGCATCAGTCAAATCCTCAGCCTGATGAACCTAGACCACATGTTTCTACTGCTGGAAGACTGGCAGTGGCTGATAACTATATAATGGAAAATGGTACAAGTACTCCTCTTGGGCAAGGCAATTTATGTGATGTCCACCCTGTGCAATCCCACTATGTCCATCATGAAGACACATGGTATACCCGACCTGTTGCAGACGTTGGTAATCAAGTGTTTCACGACCAAGCTGTGGCCACTGGATCACAGGTTCATATTCCGTCTCTGGACGAGCGTGGAGTTCGTTGCAGCAATCTTGCCTGTACATATGGAGCTGATAATCTGTACCAGGTTTCTCATGGCCATGTGCCTTCACATGCTTTATGGAGAAATGTTCATGGCCCATTGCTAGGAGGTCCCTCTTATGAAACACCTGTTTCAGTTCAGCTAGCAAATGGTTCTGTCAGCACTGGATTTATGAGGGGTATAGTGGAGAGTAGTCCCAGGTTGCGAACCGAGTTGGAGAATCAAAATCCTTGGTTAGAGTTGCCACAAAAACTTGGGGGCTTTGATGGGTCTCATGGCCAAGCTCCAACATTGGTGCCCACTGTCGAGTCCCCATATACTATGCAGTCCAACCCATCAGTCCCAGACATGACTAAATTTGCGGGTCCTGTAACCCATCTTACAAAATCCGATTCTGCATTCCTTTTTGATGACAAGTTGGTCACTGCAGCTTCCATATCACACCTGAGAAATGATGCTGATATTGCTGAACCAGTCAAGTTGGATGAGAACAGTATCTATAGAAGGAAGAAGGAACTGAATCTTGGAGGGCAGGCTGGAGATACTAACATGCATGGAGTCAATGACAAAAATCCTGATGCAATGGCACCTGCCAAGTCTATCAATTCTGTAGTGGAAAGCAGTAGCAGGACGGAAGTGGAAGAAATGAATGCTGGCCTTGGTGCTGAGCTGCAGGAAGACCGTTTGAGCTTCCTGCCTGAGTTAGTTGCCTCTGTAAAAGAAGTGGCTTTGGCAAGTCTGAAGGAGGTGGAAGCTAAAGTTCGAGAAGATACTGATTTTGGAACTGAGCAGAATGTGGTTTCAGAAGATGATGCACAGCATGACCCAGATGGAGTGGTGAGAATCAACCACACTCTTTCTTAATAGTTTCTGTTGTGTAATTTTTCAGTAAAACATCCTCTCTTGTTGTATAGGATGGCCATGGGGACTTGGAGATGGGTTCTGATAATGACAATCTCAGCAATTCCAAGATCGAGCCAACTACTGCTGAGGCTGAAGCAATTGATAGAGGATTGCAGGTTCCCGTTTTACCTTTGGATATATTATCTGTATTACAATTCAATATACATATAGTTAAGCATACCTATTCTATCTGTTTGCCACCTACATCAATTTGAGACTTCTTTTTCAGAAAAGCGATGTATTAAGTAATTGATTCTTTTCTTCTCACGTTCCACCATCTGTCGTTGCTACGTCATTTTCCATGTAGACAATTAAAAATGAAGATCTGGAGGAGATCCGAGAGTTAGGCTCTGGAACCTATGGTGCTGTTTACCATGGCAAGTGGAAGGGGTCAGATATAGCAATCAAAAGAATAAAATCCAGTTGCTTTGCTGGAAAGC